CTATATATTTTGGAGCTTTAGGGGAAAAAAAGCTATATACTTTTCTAGTTTTAGGAAAAAACACATAAAGTGGTTTCCCCGAAAGAATATGGGCTTCCATTCTGTACTTGGTAGTCATGAGGCTCTGAGTAAAACACTTGAGAATGCAGTCAGTCAACCAGGGCTGGGACTGGGGGGAGTATGGATTTCTATTGTTAAGTTACACGGAAAAAGTCAGATGGGTAGGTGGACTTACTGTATGCTGCTCAGCTTGTGTTTGTGGTCACCTAGGGAAGAAGAGCAGATAGTACATTTATATGGCCTGTTTCTTGGGCTTAAGACCGATGGTGGTGGATGGGACTTTAAAGAAATAAGACTTAAGAAATGACACAAAAGAAGAGAAGTTTTTGAAGAACTGTTACTAGTCATTGTTTAGAAATGAAGAGTAGGGTGGATAAGACCACATTCTTATGCTCCAGAGAGCCTAAGTTTGATTCCCAGGCTCATGACCACCTTAACTCCACAACAGGTGCCTCTGGCCTGCACATAAAAAGTCTTTTAGAAGTTTCCTTTTAGGCCTGTATTAATAAAAAGTAGTTTACATTGATTAATACTTGTCACAGATGTATGAACTCAGTCAAAGCCACAAATAATGACCAGCATAATTTTGAGTGATTGTATATTATGAGTAAAGAAGATAGTTCAAAATAAAAGACCTGGAAATAACCAGGACTATGGCTGGAGTTGCAGCAGGTCATTCACTGTCTGAAGAATTGTGCCAGTCCTGCAAGGCCCAGTGGCTGGGAACAATGGGGGCATTTTGCTTGTTGGAAAACAGTTTGATTCAGGTTAGTGTTACTGTTCAAATGTCTCAACACAAGTGACTGCTTTTCCTCAGCCAGTGTTAAACTGCTAACCCACTGTGGTCTGAGACAACCTGGAGTGAGTTCTTGGGATGTGAAACACTGAAGGTCTGTATAGTCCTGGGTGGCATCAGACATTACTGATTCTTTAGGTACCTCACCGTAGAACAGATGGTCCCTGGTGCTTTAGTAAAGAGCCATGTGGACATTTCTTGTGGCTGTCACAGCTCAAAAATACCCAAACTCAGGGGCAGAAGATTGTTTAGTGGGTAAAAGAGCCATCATATCTGATGGCTCAAGTTCAATCTCTGCTACCCATATGGTGAAAAGACTGTACTACTCAGCAAGTTGTCCTCTGCCCACCTCTATGCACATAAAGAATGTACCCAAAACTCAAACTGCTTTGGGCGTCTATATCTTTAGCTTATAAGGAAGGGCAGGATATTGGGGAAGAGGCCTGTGTTCTAAAAGTCATCAGCTTCAGAGGACGTCATGACATCGCTATTTCTAGACAGGAGAGTAAAGATACTGGTTTTTAAAAGGTACTGGATTTGGACAGAATGAGTGATGTCCTGTATTTTCTTTGTGTTTTGATAATTGTTTGCCTTAGCTTTGAGTACACTAAATAAATGTGAATAGAAAAAGACAATATACTAATTTGCGTGAGCGTGTGTGTATATTGTGAAGGTTTGAAGCATGTAAACAAAGTCCATGTGTGGGAGAAGAGAAGAGAATTGTATCTAGTCAGCCTTTTGTGGTGAGCTGCCTATTGCCAATGTGGATAATCCTGGGGGAAACTCAGAACCCGTAAATTGCTTTTGTTTGGGAAAGCAAGGACTAGTCAGTCTCAGAAATTCTCTCCAAAACATCATCTCTAGTCTGCACAACTGTTGGGAAGTGAGCAAGGCAAGTAGACCACTGTTGAATATCCAAACATTTCCTTGTGAGGTTTTTCACAACTGTTGGGCTTTGGGCTTCCTTTGGAAGCATGGATATTTTAATCTTTACTGTGTGGTAATAATTCAAAAGCTCAGTAGTTGAGTTTAGTCCCTAACATGGCTCTGGTAGAAACCAGCCAATATCATTGGTTGAAAAGTCATTCTTGATAACAGATTTCATTTGTCCCTGTGATGTTAAAGTGCCAGCTTCTAGACAAGCATTTTATTGTAGAGGCATTGTTCTAAAAGAATTAAGAATTAGTTTCAAATGAAAAATGTCCACTTTGGTAGTAGTTCTCACTTGGATTCTCAGCATTGCAATGAAGACTGGACCTGGGATACATTGTATGTCTACAAGCTAAAATATGTTCGGGTTCCACACTACAATTTTTCATGGTATTGGCAGGCTTAGGAACATGAAGCAGAGTATGCCTGGTTTCCCTGGTTGTGCATTTTTTCATTCCTAAGGCAGATGGCTTAACTTGAATCTGAGGTAGTCATGAGTCCTTCAGTAAAGAACTTACATTAACAAACAAAATAAGAAACAGTGCTTAACTTTTTAAATCCAGTTTTATATAAATAGTGGCATATTCTCAAACGTGGAATAAAAGACTCAGGAGGATCTGAGTTTGAGGCCAACCTGATCTACAAGAGCTAGTTCCAGAACAGGCTCCAAAGCTTCAAAGAAACCCTGTCTTGAAAAACCCAAAAAAAAGCACATTCTCTAATACAAGAAACATTCAATATGAAGATAAAAGCCTGCATGGTTAACCAATAATACCGGGAAATAGCCTTCCCTTTAAAGATGAGGTGATTGGCTAGAAACTGAAACAATATTAAGAACTTTGTTCTTTCACACAACTGATTTACTTTAAACATCCTTCTGTAATTCCTCTGCAAAAAGGCAGAGGCAGGCGGATCTCTCTGAGTTCAAGGCCAGCCTGGTCTACAAGAGCTAGTTCCAGGACAGGCACCAAAAACTTCAGAGAAACCCTGTCTCAAAAAAAAAAAAAAAAAAGTGTCAAAAGGTTTTAGTCGAATGCTTTGCTCAAATGACTTCACATCTGTGTTCCTGCCTTCATCTCCATTAGTCTAATGGAATGTGAGAGAGGTCATGCTGCTTTTGAAGATTCATCAGTTACCCAAGTATGAAACATTAGTAAATATCTTTCCGCATAAGAATAGGCTAAGCACGAAGGAATACATTCTAAATGCCCGTGGGTGTTTCACGTAAGCATTGGCTGGTTTGGTTTTAAAGCAGGAACTGACAGGATAAGATTGTGAACAAACCAATTGGTACAGCACACTGATACTTCTTATTTAATGTGACTATCAACCACTATGTGTACAGGTTCTTGGCATGGTCACTCCTGAATTAGGCAGAGGTCATTGCTGGCAACCATTGTTCTGTCTTGTCTTCTCAGCATCATAGCTTCTCATGTGGATGTGGGGAGATGTAGGCAAGCACTTTACACTGACAGCTAGTGCCGGCAGCAGTCTGATTTGAAGGGCACAAATTTAGTGGGGCATCTCAGCCCTGCAGAAAGGCAGGAGTCACAGTGGAGGAAGGCCCAAAAGTAGAGATCAACATTCCTCGAGGTCTTAAAAGGGAACTATTAGAGCTTCAGGGCAAGATAGCCTGACAAGATTGAGGCCCCAGAAACCAACTGTAGTTTCAATAATTTATAGATCAGGTTGCAAAGTTATAGACCCAATAGCAAGAATATTCGTGTGCCGTAGCACACGGGTAGTGACTGAGAAACAAAAGCATGGTCATTAGGTTAACGGTAGCCCACGGAATGGAAGCTATGTGAAGCAAGAGACCCCAGGGACGGTACAGTGCAGGAAGGAAGGGGCCCTGGAGTCTGATAGTAAAATCCATGCTTTCTCACTGTAATCATTGTTGCTTTCCAAACACACACTCCTGGTTTAAAAATTAAGAGTTTTGTCTTTATTTCATCTCATAAATGAAGGACAGATGTTCAGCAGACTTGACCACTGGGCACTGTGATTTCTCTGAATCCATTGCATTGAGAACGGCTTAGCATCTCCTGTGCAGACACAGCAGCATCTGTCTCAGAGAGGGCACACAGTCTGAGACCATCTGGAACAGAGAAAGGGAAGGAAATCGGATGGATCAAAGCAACATTTGCTATACAGACTTAAAAAAAAAAACCTTTTACATTGTTGCATTTCTTTAAAATTGGCTCTCGGGTGTCCATAATCATATTCCTATTCCTGAGGCTCGGGTCCCATTCTCATGGTTGCCTCATACACTTGCCCAAATATTTTCTTACAAAGATTCAGGGTTCTTTTTGTTTTCCCCCTGAGAAAGTAATGGGTCTATCAGCTCCAGGCCCATTTCCCATGAGGGCAGCCAAGAGCTGCTGCTCAAGAGTGCTGTCCCCTCCTGACCACATGCTGTCCCCTCCTGACCACATGCTGTCCCCTCCTGATTACATGCTGTCCCCTCCTGACCACATGCTGTCCTCTCCTGACCACATGCTGTCCCCTCCTGACCACATGCTGTCCCCTCCTGACCACAAGGTTTCATGTCAGCCAGCAACGAAAGGTCAGAGGAGAAGGATAATTCTTCAGGCTGGCTGCACATTAAACACTGGGTCTGAACTCCTTGTATTCTGCAGAGAACACGCTGTTTTCGTGTGTTTACTCCACCTGTTGACATGAGCTGTCTGGCGAGTGTCAGTATGAGTTTGAGCATCCTGCTCTTTTGCCCAACTTCCTAATAACGTCTGTAGTTAACTAAGCTTTTAGTTTATGCAAACCACAATTTCCACACTATCACTTCCGTCCCTCTATATTCCTGGGAGTTAAGAATGAGCTATTTACTTCAGGGAAAACAGGTTTTTCTGTGTGTGTGGAAACTTTAGGGGCTCAGTAATTCATCCAAACCTGTAACGCTTCTAAACGGTATAACAGGCATTGCTACCTTGGCCCTTAAGTCTAAATCCAAACTGAGGCTTTGAGGCTTCACGATACACTGCTTTCCTGATAATCTTTGTGGACATATCTCATCACGCAGGGTTTCTCCTCCACCTCAGCTGTGGGAAACAGAATACCAGCAAATGGGGCCAATTGCCAGACAAGGCTCAGGATCACTGCCCTTGTCTTTGTTATAGCCTGTGGTGAACATTGACTCTCTTCTTGTCAGGCCAGAGATCTGGCTTCGTTGGCCCTGAGAACTCTGGCTATTCTGAAGAGGGAGTACAAGTATTTCTGAGGTCATTGTGACTCTTGAGTCATCGTTTCTGGCATGGCACGTATGAGTAGCTGGGCTCTCCCCGTGCTGCACATAGGCCAGCTCCTATTAAAGGGTCCTGCGCTCCATCCCCGTAGCTGCCAGACAGTTGAGATGGGGAGGCTGCTGCTGTTGGCTGGTGAGTATGGCGGATCCTAGCAATGCCACAAAGTTCAGGAGATGCCAGTTTGTCATTTCCCTGGTGCCCAGTAGAGCAGTCCGGGACTCGGAGAGTCTGGATTAACAAATATGAGATAAGACATAACAAAGAATCAGAGGCACTAAATGGGGAAGGGCCAGAGAAGCAGGTCTCCAACCAAGTTGTTTTCTTGCTTGGGCTTCCTCTTGGACCAGTTTATTCAGAATTTCTGAGAAGAGGGCTTTGATATGAGTACTATTGAATTTATAGCCAGAATTGAGAACCGCTGGCGGAGCGCTTTAGCAGGACTTCTGCCATCGTCCCTATGCAGAGCGTGTGCAGGTACATGGTGACAGCTACTAGGAACGGGGCTTAGACTAGCTCCACTGTTAACTTGGAAGGAGAGGAAACCAGTGACTGACGTGCGTCACCATTGGTGCATCTGCATGTGTATATGGTGTTGAGCTGGAGGGGTCACTTGCATATCGGAGGGTGTGCAGGGGCATGCCACAGTGCTTGTGAACATGAATTTCTTCATTTCCTGCAGGGCTGGTTCTTCTGATGAAACACAGTGATGGTAAGGAAACCACCTTCTCTCCTCCATAGCCAAGGAGATTCTCTGGCTAGGAAATCTCCCTTCAGTGTCTCCTGGACCTTACCTGACTTGGCTCCTTGGTCAGAGGTTATTAAATCCAATGGAATTCAGCACAGGATGCTGGTCTCTTGCCGTTTGTATGGCTCAATAGGTCCCTGGATCTAGACTGATAAGGGCTTCTCTCTTCTCCCAGCAGTGAAGGCAAGAGTTTTAGGGGCATGTGGAGGAGGTGTTGATGTATGTGGGCGGGATGGAGACCATTACAGTGGCCTGGTTCCTTTGGCTGGGCTTTCTCTACCCTCCAGAAGCCGAGCTCCCTCCTTGCCCCATGCTCTCTGCTAATACTTGTGTCCTTGCCAGGTACTGCCTACAAGCTGGTGTGTTATTTCACCAACTGGGCTCACAGTCGGCCAGGCCCTGCCTCCATCTTGCCCCGTGACCTGAACCCCTTTCTTTGTACACACCTGATATTTGCCTTTGCCTCAATGAGCAACAATCAGATTGTTGCCAATAATCTCCAGGATGAGAACGTTCTCTACCCAGAGTTCAACAAACTCAAGGAGAGGTATGTTAGATGTGCTGCTGGGGTCTCAGATTTTAGAGCTAGAGGAAAATTCAGCTTCCCTGGTCTTTCTAATCCTACCTTTCTCTCAAGTGGGGATCTGAGCACCAACTAAGAGCTCTCTCTTGACCAGCCCCCTGAGCTGCTTCTTGCCTTGATGACTTGGTAGCTAGTGTTGCCTGTCCGTGGATGGCTTCACTTACTCCTCTTGGTAAACTCTGGCTCCCCCTTTGAGGGGTTAGGTGCTTCAAAGAGGCGTGGGGTGCTTGCCTATGTGTTTGCTGTTACATTTCAGTCAAAGGCACATTGTCATTGCTCAGTGAATGGGAAGATGAGTGACGAGAGATTTTTAGACTCTTTTCTGAAAATGTTATTGGGAAGTGAGGGAGCTTGGGGCGCTTTGGTAGTCTTGGTGCGCAGAGCTGTAAGGGTCTTTGGAGTGATTATTCATCTCCATTTCCTTTACTTCTGTGGTCTCCTCCACATGCCCTTTCCTATTCTTCTCATGTCCCCTTCTCCATTTCCCATTGTTTCCCCAATGCCCAGAAGAAAGAAGAGCAGTGACCACTGCCTCCCCTAGAGTAAGGACCTACTTACCCACTTTTCCCCCCACATCCCAGGAACAGGGCCCTGAAAACACTGCTGTCCATCGGAGGCTGGAACTTCGGCACATCACGGTGAGCTGCTCTGCCACTGTCTTCTCTCTGGGAGGTAGAGCAAGATGAGCTGGAAGTGAGAATAATGGTGTGTGTGTGTGTGTGTGTGTGTGTGTGTGTGTGTGTGTGTGTGTGTCTGAAAGCCAGCTTGGATATGAGAAGAGGGGCAGGGGAACATGACAGACAATATGGATAATACGGTACATTAATACTGGGAGTGCGGCCAAGTGGCAGAGCACATGACCACAATAAGACAAGACCCTGTGTCTGACCCTTGGTGCCATCTGAAAATATACCCAAAACAAAACAACACACAAGACCACTTGGAGATACAAATCCATAGGAAAAAATACCAAGGAATATAGCCATCAGATGTGAAACTTAGGACCAGAAATGAGTGACAGGTAAAATGGGACACTACCCACAAATAAATCTTTAATTGCTTTTGTTGGAGGCAGCGCCTTTATTTCTGAAGAAAGTCTTATATAGGACAAGAAGAGTAACCCCCAAACCTCACAGGCCCTGTGAGGTTTTCGCATGGAGCTGGCTGTGTTAGCGATAAAGAAGCAACCCAGGATATGCTGGCGCAATTGCAGGGTCTCACAGCACGCATCCTTCAGCATCCTTCACGCAGTGGCCACTTTTGTTAGTGACCCCATCCAAGATACAATAGGGAAATGACAAACTACCTTCATATTCTCAGGAGGAAAGTTTCTTTGCTTCCTAGCTAAGGTCTGGGGGCAGAGCCTGCCTTTCAGCCTTGGAGAGAGACCTAACAGTCTGGAACCCCCAGGTAGGATGGAGGATTCCAGGTGGGAGGTGTTTAACAACTAGCTCTGTCCAACCCCAGGCCTCATCTCTGGTTCTTTGACTTGCTGTGAGACTAAAGTCAAATGAGATGCCACATGTATTTATGTATTCATGTATGCACACATGTATATATGTATGGATGGATGATGTCTTGTGAAATGGCTGTATTTTAAATTATTAAGAAAAGAAAACAAGAGTCACAAGTATTAAGGAACTTGCAAGGTTTCTTCCAGGTGTTTTTGCCCCTCACGAGGCCCCAGCTGAGTGGTGACCGATAGACAATGGCATCCCGGTCCATTTATTTCTAGGTCTACTTATTTTATAATCACTTTTCACAAGGTTAATCTGGATTTGCTTCAAGTTCAGCTCTGATAAGCAAGACTTACTCTTGAGTGTTTTGCTATGGAAAAGAAAACAAATAAAAAAATCAAATAAAGCCAAAGAATAAAAGGGCCAAGGGTGGGAATTCTTCTTGAGAGCACTTTGCTTCTTGTGACAATTTAAGCCATGAGATGGGGACATTTCTAGGGCCTCAGAGATGGCTGATTTTGAAGACAGTGTTCTTTGCCTAACCCTGGTCTCCCTGCAGGTTCACCTCTATGCTATCCACAATTGCCAGCCGTGAGGAGTTCATTGATTCAGTTATATCCTTCCTGAGAACACATGGCTTTGATGGGCTTGATCTCTTCTTCTTGTACCCTGGACTACGAGGCAGCCCCGCGAATGACCGGTGGAATTTTCTCTTCTTAGTGGAAGTAAGGCCAATAGGAAAATGGTTTTACTTTTCATTTGGGGTCAGTGAGTGTTAGGTAACACAAGTTTGGGGCAGAGGAGAGGAACAGAATATTCTTCTACAGACATTCCCTGGACGTGCTGCGTCCACACTGTTGTGGAGTGGTTGCCCTGTGGCTGTTTCTGTCTTCCTCTGAATCTTGCCCCAGCTCTGTAGCCTAAGGGACACTTTCTCTCTGGAGGTTCCGGACCTTGTTCCCAGCCTGCTCTCTTTCTCTGTGTTAACTCGAGTATCGTGCTGGTATGCTGTCTGTCTTCACGTAGCCTGTGTTCTCTTTCTGAACCAGGCCTGGCTTTAAGAGTGTAAAAAATTTCTGCATGCGGCTTCTCTCTCTCTCTCTCTCTCTCTCTCTCTCTCTCTCTCTCTCTCTCTATTTCTCTCTCTCTCTCCCCCCCTAGGAGCTCCAGTTTGCCTTTGAGAAGGAGGCACTGCTCACCCAGCGCCCAAGGCTGCTGCTGTCGGCTGCTGTGTCTGGTGTCCCATACATCATACAGACGTCTTATGATGTGCGCTTTTTAGGAAGGTGAGTGGATGTTGCTCCAAAGTGGCTAGAGGACTGCCCGAGCCTCCGTTTGCTGTCCCCATGTTGGTGAGGTTCTGGGGTAAGCTGAGGAGTGGAGTGAAGAGCTAATGAGGTGAGGATGAGAGTGATATGCTCCCCATCCCTGGGCTTTTATCCAAAACCTCAGAACTGGGTTTTGTACTGGTGACTTATAACACCATTAGCAAAGGTAGAGTCTTCTTCAGGGCTCATTGCTGGAACGCATAGATGGCAAATGTCATGGGCCCGGCCTCTTCCTCCCCTGAGCACACGAATAGACATATAACATGCAATCGACGATAGTGTCAGAGGGCAGGTGAGTAGCATGCAATGCCTTGGAAAGCAACACAGGATGCCTGGCCGGACTCACATTTCAGAGGAGATCTTTTTGCAAAAGTTAAAAAAGCAGACAACAATAGGTAGGTTATAAATCTTCCTAGACATGCTGGCTCTGAACTCATTTTCTTGACTCACAATCAAGTATTAAAGATAAAGAAACCAAGGTTCATGCGGAGAGAGGACATGCTGCCCCTGTGTATTCGCAGGAGGGAGGGTGTTTTCATGTGGGAGGAAAAGAGAGACCTAACAGGGAAGAAAGCTTATTAATGTTCATTGTGTTGCCAGGTAACAGTGAGAGAGTGCTGCCTTTACCTATCTGGGTGACTTTCAAAAAATTTGTTAATATGAGTTCCCAGTGATTTACCTTTAAACTGTAAAATGTTGGTTGGATATGATATTATAGACTTGTCTGTAATCACAGCACCAGGGAGGTAGAGGAAGGACGATCACGAGTTTGAGATTAGCGTGGGTTGCATAGTATAGATCAGCATGGGTTATATAATAAGACATTGCCAGTTGGGCGGTGGTGGCGCACGCCTTTAATCCCAGTACTCCGGAGGCAGAAGCAGGTGGATCTCTGTGAGTTCGAGGCCAGCCTGGTCTACAAGAGCTAGTTCCAGGCCAGGATAGGTTCCAAAAACTACAGAGAAAACCTGTCTCAAAAAACAAACAAACAAACAAAAAAGCAAAAAAAAAAAAAAAGACACTGCCATGAAAGACAGACAGACAGGTACGCAGATA